CGGCAAGTTGCAGGACTGACAAATTTATGTAAAAAAACTGCGACTTGTACACTAGAAAATAAGTACATTCAGTGATCTGAACCATTTTTTTTTCCAAAGATGTTCATCTGTCAGAAATGTTTCCACATGCTGAAGCTGCAGAAGGAGAAAGGACAATTTTCTTGGTTTAATCGACACGTAAAGTCAATTGAACAAAAACTGTGAAAGACTGCTGTGGGTGCACGGGGCTTATGTTTCCTGCAAGCTTTTGGTTGAATGTGGGTTCTGGGTGTAGATCTCATCCAGGCTATTGTTTCCACATCCTCTGCAGACTGAGTAATGGCCTTCTGAAAACAGGCTGTCTTTTGTCCCCGCCTCCTCGGCTCTGGAGTGGGATGCCATGGCACTGCTTCCCCTTTATGGAGGATGGGAGGAGAGGAGGAGGGGGAGACATGCAGGAGGAAGAAGAAGAAGTTGTAGAGGGGGGAGTAAAACCTGTCGCCACCACCGCTGTCTGTTATCAGCAGGAGACGAGTCACTTGGGACCGGCAGCTAATGCAAACTAATCCAGCGGGTCTGAGCTCCAGCTCCTCTCAGCAAGGTGTAATCTGCATTAGTACCACTCACACAAGTCTGGGGATGAGCAAACATCTCACACAGAAGCTCAGACAGCCTGCCACGGCCCTCTTCCTCACCGCCCTTCAGTAAACGCCACTTCTCATCATCTCATCGTAAACAAAAGAGGTGAATTGTTCCCAGGACCACAAGTTGACACATGCCACTAAAAACACCCCCCCCGCCCCTCTACAATGGAGGACACAGATGCCAAACAATGTGTGCTTGTGCTTCTCGTTGCATGGAAGAAAGAGGAAGAAGGGGGCAGCAGGGCTGAACAGGAAAGAAAGAAAAAGATTTTTGTGGGTTTTTACGATTCCTCCGTCAATCAGCTTGAAACCTGGAGCTGCACGGAGTCTCCTCTGCTGCTGCTGCTGCTAAGACGTGAGTGATTAATGTGGTCGCCTCGAATGGGAGACAGTGCGTGTAATCAAGTCCCAGCCTGTAATAACCTTCGCATTCCTTTTCATTTATAATTTCACAGAGGGAGAGCTGCTGCCAGAGGTGAACGCTCGAGAGGTGAGGGAGAGAAGAGCAGGGATAGACAGAGAGCCACCAGCGTCCCTGAAAGTTACGCCTCTACTGCTGGGAAGGAGGCAGCTCTATCTGCTGCCCGAGGGCCAAACTATCAACAGGTTGTGGGTCAAAACCCCCGACAAGATCTGAGAAGAATTCTCAGCGCACCTGTGCGACACACGCGCAGAGCGGTGGAGTCTGTTGGGAACTTTTGGATGCTTTTGTGCGAGCTTCGAACACCCTGCACTCACACTCTCCCTTAACCAACATGTAGCAGAATGAGTACTTAGATCATTGCAAGCTCACATCTAAAGTTTCTACTACAATACGAGTTATGTGCAATAATGCAGTTATGCAGGGACACAAGCAAACCCTGAGGGCACGACATGACACATCTGGACTGACGGCAGTCTGCTGGGATGAAAAACTTGATTCATTTTGGGAGATCCAGGCAGAGTGCCAGCCTGCATTTTCCTGATCATTGCAACTCAAACCAGAGGAGGCTCACAGGGTCTCTGCTGCCTAAACGCACACAGTGACAAAAATCTTCCATTCGAAATACAAAGATACAGTAGTCCCTCACTACTCTGCAGTTCGACTTTCGCAAACTCGCTCTTTTGCGGTTTTGCAAAGCAACATTGTACTTGGACAAACAAAGTGTACTCACAAAATTGGGACAGTACGTGATACTGTACAGTAAAAAGTTACCGAAAAAATTAAATACTTTGGAGAGGCGCCGCCATTTTGTAGTTTTCACTCAATAAGCCTACATTGTATCCCCGCTCATAACAACTACATCTCCCAGAAGCCCCGTTGCCTTATGCTGAAACAGGGAAAGTTTTGATCTGATCATAAAAAGTTCGGTGCTTATTCATACAGTGACTTCAGCACACAGCGCATGCAGAGAGCTGCACAGAACCAACCTGGAACAAGAGCAGAACCGGACCTCCAGACCTAACGGCGAATCTGAGAGCTGCTAGCCGGCCCACAAGGACCTGAGCGGGAATGTGCCGTTGTAGGGCTGGCCTCTCTCCGGAGCCCACCGGGACTTTTTCCATCCCTCTATCGAGCCACTCAATCAAACCACCGTGCGGTCCCACACCAGCCACCTGAGGGTCCAGCCCCCCCACAAAAATAATGCACTTTGGTGCTCAAGGGCTGCACAGAACTGGACCTGAGCAAAACTGGCAGGGTATGTCTGCGGAACCATAACCGAGCCGCTGTTTCTGCAGAGATGGTGAGTAAAACTTTGCAGTACTGTACAGTTAAAATGACGTAAGTTTAAGAGTTTAGAACATTACGGGTTTCGTCGCTGAAAGATGGGTCTGCAGAAATGGAACCGAGTCGGACCGGAACCGAGCGCTGCTACTGTTCTGCAGAGCTGGTGAGTAAAATTTAGTAGCTACATGTACAGTATGGTACGTATGTTGTTAAACTGAAGTAAGTTTAAGAGTTTAGAACATTGCAAGAGTGTGGGGTTTCTAAAGCCTTAATATATATATATATATAAATACTCGAATAAATATAATGTTGCTACTTCGCAGATTTTCACTTACTGCGGAGGGGATCCTGAACGTAACCCCCGCAATAAACCAGGGACTACTTTACTACCAGTAAGTGCTGAAAAAAAGGACAGGATAAAGGAGGTGGGACACAAATTAATTAAGCCCCCAGACCACACATGGCAAATCATAAACAAACACACTCGCTTAAAAAGCAAACCATCCACACCCAGAGCGTTGCAAACCCATTTCAAAAGGTGAGAAACACTAAACACATGAAAGCGTGCGCTGCATCTCATGCACCAACTCAGCAGAAAAGGTGTGTTTGCTGCACAGAATTACACAAAGTGGGAGTCCAACCTGGGAACGGGACAGAACAATTAGCAGGTCAGAGTTCATGTCATGTCTCTCACTACAGAATAAAGTGTGCCACGTGCACTCCTGGGTGTCTGAGTCAAGCAGACAGAGAAAGCTAAAGCAAACAGGAGTCCTGATGCCTCAGTCTGTAATCAGGAGCTTTACAGCTCCTGTAATTACTTCTAAACACTCATTTGGCTAATAACCTTAGCTCTGTGTGGAATATGATGAGGGGTGTGAACTTTTCTGTCATTTCTATAGACAAACGTCTCACTCAGCTCTTCAGTCACTTCTCTCGTGTTAGATCTTACTCACTTGAATCCTTATGAAAGTAGCACTTCTTGAAAAATGTGCGCTACCTTTTGAGATGATGTGCGATCTGTTGGAGCTCAGAGTACATTTCGACCACACCAGATTTTAGCTCAACATCTGTAAAAATGAGTGCGTTAAAGCCATAGTTGTGTTTGCTAAGGTTGATTAGGTGTGGCGGTCATCTTATATTGGGTCAACTCAAATAGAAAATCAATTGTAGAGGTACATTTGTGCATTTGTTTCTTACAGCTCCGGTAAAATTTATCCAATGGTTCATGAGGTATTTTGCTAACAGACAGTCTAACGAATACACACACAGTTTGCCTGTTTATCGTGACTGTAAATGATCGGAAAGTCCCTTTTGCATGCAACACAAGGTTAGTAAATATTGTAAAACAAAAAATGACTGTTTTTTTTAACAGATTTTTAACAATGGAGCAATTTCTAATAAAATATACTCCAACAAAGTAAAGTTTTGCTTCAATCCCTTTGCTCTTACTCCCACAGCTTCAGACATGCAGACTACCTTTCATTGCCACACACCTGTTTACGGGAGGTTGCAGTTCCTATCTACACAGACAAAACTCCCTCATAACTGAAGGCAACAGCGAAATGACCCATTCTTCATCTTTAAAGGGATAGTTCAGATGTTCTGAAGCAGAGTTCTGTGGAAAGTTGATGATCAATCAATACATGTTGTAGAACGTTCTTAGAACGACGCCTGAACGCTCTCTCTTTAAAGCTTAACTACACTCCCCTTGGCAAAAACAAAATCCTACACGAGACAATCAGCAGCACCAGGTCAGACTCTTCAGGTGCTTTTCAATTTATGCAAAATAAAGGCGACACGCAACTCTAACGTGCACCTATACTGGTTTAAAACCAGTTTGTTGACCCCCTCAGCACCTTCCTAAACTCACCAGCCCTCTGCTCATCCTATCGTGACAGGAAGGGGGTTGGAACTCTTTCAAACCAACCTGTGCTATTAGAATTGACTGATAAGTAAGTATTCCCCAAGGACGCAGCTGCTTCTTACTGAAGTCAAAACACACACAGCTCAGGCTGTTTACTCCAGATCACGCCTCAGTATCGAGTTCCTCGCTCGGATATTATGTCTTAATGTCTCAAACCTGCACAGACACACCAATACGGCATTAAACTGTATTTCCACTAAAGGAAACATCATGCACAAGAGGCTGCGCTGGATGAATGCAACCCATTTGACTCATAATAGCTCATGTTGAGTCTGGCTCTGACAACGTATATGCTCACCTCTCTCTCTCCGCTTCACCTTCTCATCCTTTTTTCTCCAGCGCCGCCTCACTGACCCAACAAATCCTGCACACAGTCACCAGCCCTGACCCAGTAACCTGCACGACTCCTATCTGCTGCAGAGGAGCACACTCAGGCTCCTTATCCCTGAGCTATCAGAGCAGCACAGTGGGGCGCGGTGAGTCATCAGCAAAGCATGATGAGGACAAGAAAAATAAGAAATTATTTGCTCTCGTTTTGAATTAAAAAACCCTGAAAGTCAGTGAGATATCAACCACTCGTCCTGCAACACAGTTTCATCCTTTCAAGCAAATGAGCTAAAGTTGTGTGGGTTTAAACAGATAGAATATCAAAAAATAAAGAGTGGTAAACTTCATTTAGTTGGCTCTTTTATAAAAAAAAAATAGAATAATCTGGGCAAACAAGGGAAAAAAAGTCCAAACTTACCCCTTGGTTTTTGCTGAAACATATAGATGGCTGACTTTGTAAAGCTCCCTAAGGGTGAGAGAGGAACAGAAATAATTGTAATTAAAGCACAATTATGTAGAGCTCTGATTAAAAATGTAAGCTGAAGTTACACAGTCAGCTGCAGCTGCTTGTGAGACAAAAAAAATAAATAAAAAACCAGCCTGATTGTCAATACTTGGCTGGGAAATCTGGATTTTTGTCGTGAAACAACAGAGAGAGTAGAGGCTTGTTTGTAATGACAGGGTTCGGTTCTGTCTGTTCTGGGGCGTCAGAGGCAGCTGGTGGTTCTGACAGCAGTGACTACACGACAACCTGAACTCTGACAGGAATTTAAAAAATAAAGAAAAGCTGTGTAGGAAAAAAACACCTGGTGTGTTACCAAAACGCACCAGAGAAGCTACGTTTTACTAAAAACGTTAGCTGAAACTTTTTAGGCGTAAGAAACAAAAAGAAAGAAAAAAAAAGAAACACGATACCTTGAGGTTCTGGTAAGCCTCCAGCGCCCTGACAGCCGTGTCCGTCAGCTTGACGTGGTACAGCGTTATGTCGGGGCTGTTTTTGTCCGTTTTTCCACAGGACAGACCATAGCGGTGCTCCTGCCTGAGTGAAGCCATCGCTGGCCCTTCTCTCAGTCCTGCAGCTCGAGCTGCTTTCCTCCGAGCGCCGCGTGCGTCCTGCTACGTCACGACGTAGGCGGGGACAACCCCTCCCCTTTGACTAGGTTTCTGCTCTGAGAGTGTATGGCAAGCCATTTTAACATAAAATCGATTTGTCTGACTACCTGTAGTTATGTTCTAGATATCTAAAAAATGAGTTTTGACTAAGAACAACTATGGGGTGCCGTTTGTAAAATTACATTCAAAATTTAACAATATTTTGGTTTATTTAGTTTTTCATAAGAAAAAAATAGTTTGTTTTGTTTTCAGTCATATTTTCACCATGTCATTCATGCATTTTAAATGTCATAGTTCCAAAGTAAATATTTGATTTACAAGCTAAATATTTAGTTTACAAACTAAATACTTAACTTGTAAGTTAAATATTTAGTTAGCAAGCTAAATATTTAGTTTACACACTAAATGTTCATGTCCAAGATAAATATTTAATTTACAAACTAAATATTTAACTTGCAAGTTAAATATTTAGGTCTGAGATAAATATTTAGTTAGCAAATTAAATATTTATTTGGGAAATGAAATGTTTAGTTTGGAAAATAAATATTTAAGTCTGAGCTAAATATTTAGTTAGCAAATTAAATATTTATTTTGGAAATTAAATGTTTAGTTTGGAAAATAAATATTTAGATTGGAATTTATTATTGTATTTACACTCAAATATTTAATTTACTATCTAAATATTTAACATGCAAGTTAAATATTTAGCTCAAACCTAAATATTTAAATTGCATGTTAAATATTTATTTTAGAAATTAAATTTTTGGCTTGGAAAATAAATATTTAAGTCCAAAATAAATATTTAGTTAGCAAATTAAATATTTAGTTTATAAATTAAATGTTTAGCTGAGAAATTAAATGTTTAGTTTGGAAATTAAATATTTAGCTTGGAATTTATTATTACACTTAAATATTTAATTCACTTTCTAAACATTTAGCATGGACATAAACATTTAGTTTGCAAACTAAATATTTAGCATTGAACTAAATATTTAGCTTGCTAACTAAATATTTAACTTGCAAGTTAAGTATTTGGTTTGTGAACTAAATAGTTTGCTTGTAAATTAAAAATTTAGTTTGGAGCTATGACATTTATAAATGTATGAATAACATGGTGAAAATATGACTGAAAAAAAAAAAAACTTTTTTCTGATAAAAGGCTGAATAAACCAAAAATATTGCTGTTAATTTTTAACTGTGCAACTTTACAAACGGCACCCCATAAACAACTTAATTTTGACTATCCAGAATGCTAATCTAAGATTTACATTCTGACTAGTCAGAATAACAATTCAAGATATCTTAAAAGGAATTTAGACTAGTCATAATGTAATACAAGATATCTGAAATGATGTCACCTGATTCGTCATTTGAATGGTCAAACATCCGTAATTACAATTCACGATATCCATCCATCCATCCATTATCTTTTACCCGCTTCATCCATTTTGAGTCGCGTGGGTCGCCGATGCCCATGTCCAGCAATCACTGTGCGAGGTGCAAGGTACACCCTAAATGGGTTCATCACAGGGACACATAGAGACAAACAAGACAAACATCCATTCACTCTCTCACTCACACCTAGGGACAATATAGAGTTACCAATCAGACTAACATGCATGCAAAAATCTGGTCCTCTGGACATTCAAAAAACAAAACAAAGCAAAACAAAAAAAACAAACAAATGTGGAAACGTTTCGTCTTCCATCCGAAAGACTTCCTCAGTCTGAGGTGCTGTTTTCAGCTCAGTCTCTTAAATAGCACCTTCTTAGAGTGGATCAACCAGTTTGCTGCTGACAACCAAAACCAGCTGATCACATGGTCAAGAAGGACCATCAGCCTAACGATGGATCATTAGCACACTGATGGCTGTTTACTACTCACAGAGGGCTGAGTGATACTAGCAATCACAGCATTGTAAGAGGGGGACAGTTGAACCTGGAGGCCTCCACCCCTGTTTAATGATGGACAATTTCTTTTCACAAAGATGGCCTCCTTTACTCCTCTCTCAAACCATCGTTCCTCTCTATCCAGGATGTGAACATCTTCATCCCTGAAAGAGTGACCGCTGGCCTGGAGATGAGTGTAGACTGCAGAATCCTGGCCAGATGATGTTGATCTTCTGTGCTGGGCCATCCTTTTGGCCAGTGGCTGTTTAGTTTCCCCGATGTAAGACTGATCACAGCCCTCCTGACACTGAACAGCATACACAACATACTCTGTTTGTGCTGGGGGACTGGATCTTTGGGATGAACCAGTCTTTGCTGTAATGTATTTTGGGGTTTGAAAGCCACTGGGATGTCTGCAGGTGTGCAATGCACCTATGACGTCCTGCTTTCAGATAAACCAACGGCAGTCAGCCGCTGCCGGCCATAGAAGGTATGATTCTGCAGCCTGCATGCATGTGAAACAGCTGTTTAGCACTGAATGTGTACTTGTGCACATTACAGTGAGTTCTTTGCTCTTTACACCCAAACTAAAATGATTTTGTCAGACAAGACAAGAGGTGGAACTCTGCAGATTCTCCAGCCGGGACGCTAGAAGACACCTGAAGCGCTTCAGATGATGATTTTCAGAAAAAGATGTGGCATGGATTATTTATCATAGCTCTGGTTTTACCAGGTGATTCAATACAGGTTAAAACTGGTGTGTAGTTTGAAGTTGGTACTATTGACACAAATTAAAATGGAGTATCTGAGAGGCTGTATCTTTTCCATTAAAACTACTTAAATCGGTCTGGAGACTGTGACGCGCTGGTGCATCGATCGACTCTTCAAAAGTAAAAGTTTTTCATCAGTCAATATGGGCAGTGAAAATGCCGCCTGCCACCTGTTATTAAGAAGGGTGAAATACTTGTATACATACATCAGATTTCCTCGTTTCTTCTTTGTGGATGGCAGAATATTAGACATTTATTAGTCAGAAAAATATGCAAACACTTATACTGACAACTCCATGTGCGTCAGTCTACAAATAAACTCAAAACAAAAACAATTCTCATCACATTGAGCAAACGGGCTTAACTTTCATCATTTATGGCAAGATTTCTTATTTGAGGACAAAGCAGAATGACACCAAGGCAGCACACAGCTGAGGGTGGAGGCTGGCAAAGTGGATGAGCTTCCAAGTAAGCCTGTTTGGCTAATTTGCTAAGCTGCTACCTGAATGAAAGTAGAGGTTGTGCTTGGGGTAGGTGGGGGTTGATTGGTTACTGTTAGCCAAACATAGGGGCTAGTTTTTCCCTGTTGGAGTCAGCTTCCCCAACACCACAGACATCTACACCTCCAGATGCAGGAAGAGGGCCATCTGCATCATGAAGGACTCCACTCACCCAGCACACACACTTTTTGCTCCGCTCCCCTCAGGCAGAAGGTTGAGGAGCATTAAGGGCAGAAGCAGTAGACTGAGGAACAGCTTCTACCCTGAGGCTGTTAGACTCATGAATCCCTAGTCAGGATTATCACTGTGAAAATTACTGTGAAAAAAAAAAATCACTGTAATGCCACTTGGTTGTTGATATGTGCTGCTGATTATCCATGATGCTGATCTCATGCTGCTGATTTATTTCATATTGCTGTGCTCATTCTTCCTCATCTGCTCACACAAACTCATGCTTGTGCTGCTGTTGTTTTGGCGCATTGTTTTGTACTATTAGTGCTTATAGTGTATTCTTAGTTTAGAACATTCTTAGTTTAGTGTCAACAAAGTCCATGCTCAATAATCCAGGTATACAATCCAACAATTTTCAGTCAGGTCATCAGGAAAGTTTCTTTTTTTTTTTTTTTTTCTGAAATGTTTCACCTTCCATCCAGAAGGTTTCATCAGTCAAGGAAACACACAACACAAAACTGATTCTTCCCCTAAACAGCTTACTCCAAAGTGGAACAAACCAGTTATGCTGGTGCTAAGATGATGTTTTTGGCTCACCACCTCCTACGGTGCCTGCCCTCTTCCTCATCCATAGTCATGTCAAACTGGTTCAAAACCAACCAAGTCCATGCTCAATAATCCAAGTATACAATCCAACAATTTTCAGTCAGGTCATCTGGGCAGTTTCTTCTTAGTTTAGTGTATTTAGTGTATTCTTAGTTTAGTGTATCCGTAGTTTAACATATTTCTTAGTTCATATCTTAGATCGTATTACTGTTTTCTTTACAATTAGTATTTTTGTTTGATGTAATTGGGACCCTGTGTACATAGTTTTGTTCCACCTCATGTACCACATGTGAATGACAATAAAAAA